TTTTAACCAAATTAATAATGCAATGAGCCAAACATCAAATGTTAGTTCCCTTTAAAAAATAAAATATATTAAATTACAATATTATTTTCAAACGTTTTTACACCTCACAATCAGTAGAAGATGCACTCTATTTAACTTTCGAAGAAAGTTTTGGTATAAAATCGCAACGAACAGTTGTGGTAAATTATCTAAAAATTTAGCTAGATACAAGTTTGAAAATAATTCTGTTGGATTGTTTAAGCATGACAACAATTAACAAAAAGTTTAAAACTTAGAAGAAACCAGATGTTAAGAAGTATCAAACAGTCATTATTGATCTATTTTTTAGATTGATATTAAGTTTTTTGTAAAAAATAAAGTGCTCAAATTTTTTTATTTTTTCATAATTCTTTATTTAATTTTTCATTGTTTCCTTTCTTTTTAAACTAATTTAATCGTTCTTTAATTGGTTCTTTAATTGGTTCTTTCAATATTCAAATTCTGACAGTTCAGTTTCAACATATCTTACATAATTATTTTCATGATTTTATAAATAAAATTATTTTCAAATTTATATCTACAAATTTTTAGATAGACTTTTATTGAATCATTCTTTCCGTGTATTTTTAAAAGGACATGATAAAATTTCGTTCAAGGCTAAAGTAATATATATTTATTATTCTTTACAAATATGATTAAATTCTCAGTCTGAATGAGTTAACAAAAAACTCGGAATCTCAGTTTGAGATATACGATGTGCGAGAGAAGGCGCACATTCTCTACCCGCGGATTAAAGTTGAGGAGATGGTTTTAACCGCGAAATGAAGCTAGGGGAAAGTCTCTTCTTCTCGCGAAATAATTTCCGGCACTCGATGCGAATAATGGGGAATTATTTCTTATGAAGCTCGTTGCAAGAAAAAGAAAGAAAAATTAATTGATTAAATCCGAAACCTGAAGAACATCGGTCAGTCTAAGCGGCCACACGTGTCGGTGCTAAATAAAACCCCCCGGCGGGGGTTAATAGGGATTTATTGTACGCCATTAGATTTAGTGTGCGAATCAGAAGGTTAAGTGGAAAATGGGAACCCTTTTGAGAATTTCTCTTCTCTACTAATTAGTTTTCGAGCGCGAAATTGTTTTAATGATATTATTGTTGGTTTTCGATACATTTCCCTTACAATAATCGTGTACAGTCGTGTGTGACGAAGAACCGCAGAATCCGATTTTACATACTGAGTTAAATATGTAGAAAAGAAAGATGCGAGAATTCTTTGAAAAGAGAAAGAGAAGATAAGAGTACAAGCATTTGTTTCGAAGTAAAGTTCAAGAGGTAAAATACTATCACGAATAATTCTCTGCTTTTTACGAGTAATTAATTAATTATTATACCGTTATTGCTGCCTTAATACATAGTCGCCAAGTTGAGCTTTGCAGATATAAAAGGTTTTTTTTTTAGTCCTACATATTTTTACAACATTTGTTACAGTATGTTACCTGCAGAAGCGTCCGCTTTAATTTTCTTAAAGGCAAGCGCTCTTAACAAATGTTCTACGTTTATTTACACTTTCAGCAACAGTTTCCATGATAATAAAAGCAACAGTGGTTGCGCTATTTTGTTCATACAGACTTAGTTCTTTTCCACTCAGTGAGTCAAGATCAATTGTTTCAAGACCGAGACGTTGCTATTTATACTACACGTGCAAATCGAATAGCAGTAAGAAGATTTCTTGTCTAAAAAACAGGTTATTGTGTCTGCTTTTTTCATTTTTCGAGAGATTAAAAAATGCAATTTTGTATAAGCAAAGAATATATAAAGTGTTTAGACTTCTGTCTATGAGTTTTTTAAAAATGAATAGTAAATTCTCTCTCTCTCTCTCTCTCTCTCTCTCTCTCTCTCTCTCTCTCTCATTTATTATTATTATTACTATCTCTTTACTATTAATTTAGTTACATTTCTTTGTAATTTAGTTTATTCCATTAATTTTATTTTTATTTAGCGCTTGAGAGGATATACTATATTCCTCTCGCATAATAAATAGCGATTTTACTTACGTATCTCTCTTAATTGTATTGTTTCAATTTTGTATTTGTATATGCTATTCACCATACTACTTTTATTATGCTCTGTTTTTATATAATTTATATAATTTGCAAAGTCTTTATTTTCAATTACATTATTTTTTTGTTTTACTATTTTTATTATTTTTACTACTCATATATCGTATATATTTTTTTATTTCTTCTCGTTGTCGTTTTCTTTTTATTTTTATGTTTTTAGAGAATATATCTTACCCTAGAATATAAAAAAATGCTTTTACCTGTCTGAAAAATTTATAATGCAATTGCAATGCCAACCATTTTCATTAACTTAACTTTCTAAAATTTAATTTTATATTTTAAAACTTTGTTTTATACATAATTTTAATTTATTTTATTAAAATTTTCTAAGAGTAAAATTTTATAATGTCGAAGTTGTTACATTTTCGTGCTACAATAACTGAAACATTTTACGTGATAAAAATGAGTATAATACTGGAATTTTATTTTATAGTTGCGTTACTAAATTCAGAGTGCCTCGATCTCATTTGAAAATAATGAGTTTGTTACAGAGCTCTGAAATTTGAACTTTTAGCCGCAACTTGAACTCGCAATCGTAGTTTGGCATATTGTAAATTCTCGCGTGTCTCGACTTATTTTCTTCACCATCTTGGCAGCTCGACAAAGAGCCTTGCCGAGAACATAGATAGCTCAACAGGTAGCTTTTAGAACTTTGCTCTCCTCTCCTCTTCCTTTCTTCCGTATTTTTCTGCCGTTCTTTCATATTTTACATGCTGCACAGGCGAGCTGTCACGCCTACACGCGTGAATTGCTCTTCAGCGTTGATACTTTTTACGCCGCTTCATCCTTTGACATCGAAATCGATTGAATTTTGGCCAAACGCATATATATATTTTCAGGAGCGCGATAAACGCGTTTAAATAAACTCATTCGTTTACACGACATGTGCCAATTTGTTTATCAAATCGGACAATGATTTTACATAGTTGACTTTTTATAATTTAAACGCTTTGCGGTACATGTACATTTTCGACGACATCATTTTGACGTTTTTTAGAACTTTATTTAAATGTATAAAACTTCTGGTAAAAATATCAATACATACGCGAATACTAATAAAATACATTACTGAATAAAATTAAAGAATTACTTAAAACAAATGCTAAAAAGAACTAAATTCAAAATTATGTATCTCTAAAAATAGTTGCAGAATGATATTTAAAAAAAGTATTTGAAATCTCGACTTTTGAATGCTTCTCTCTAATCGCATATCTTTATAGCAATTTTATCACAAACGACATTAATTTAAAGTGAACCTTAAAAAATAACCTTGAAGAATAAACTACAAATTTGATGACATGTACGGGGAAAACAAAATTTTTTTCTATAAATTTCTTTAATTACATCTCTTTAAAATGTTTCGTTAATCATTACGCTATGATTTTTTTTATTGAGCCATGATACTTGTGACAATTTAAAATGAATAACGGTAATTTCTTCAATTATTTAAGATTTACTTTAAGTTAATTTTAGTGTAAAAGTTGTTGTAGTGTTGGGGCGCGTTGTAGAGACACGTTCGAATTCAAAAGTTTAAATTCAAAAGTTGAGGTTTCATGCTTTAAAATACTTTTTTAAATATCAATCTGCGACCATTTTTCGCAAAGATACGTAACTTTGAATTTAATCCTTTTTAACGGTTGGTTTCAAGTGATCCTTTAATTTTATTGAGTAGTATATTTGTAATGTTCTTCCATATCACAATTATCACATTAAATACTTTTTTCCTTTGTCTGCAAATTTGATGAAAACTCGATTTAAACTAGCGCAGAATAGTCAATTACTTTTTTTTTAACAAAAAAGAAATTGAAAAGATTTGACGATATTAAATTGTTGCAAGATTAAAAAGAAGCGAATAGATGACAGACTGATAAATGTGGTAGAGGTTGTTTATATCACTGTTTCAATTTCACGTTTCCAGATCGATTACAAGTATGAATAACAGAAAAAAGCACAGCTAATTATGGTTGCGTGCTCTCATTAACTGAACGATCAGCCGGCACTTCATTGGGCAATTACACACATGATACACCTCGCACGAGTAAATAAAGCGTGACTTGACGTATGCCGAAACGCTATGCAATCAAATGCGATTCGTGGATGTTAAAAAAATAAAAAAAATTGCATTCGATGAACACATTATTATAGACAATTTACAAATTATATTTTTGTTTCAATTTATTATTAGTTATTTTCTGTTTTGATCAATGACTCTCATCAAAGGTTTCATTAATCCTTCGGAGCTGATGCCAAAATCTGTAACACAATAGAGGCCATTATATGCAAAGGATGCATTCCGGGAAATATTAACGTTATTTATATCATTCTTTATTGTTTATTATAAAACAAGGAATGATTCAAACAACAAATATGACATAAGCACCAAAAAATGACATAAGCTGCATCAATATAACATAATTCAGACCACTGAAGTAATTTATGTAAATAAATAATCAGACTCTTTATGGACTAAATTAGTTAAATAAATCAATACGAAGATTTTATCCGATCTTAGACTACGTTATACTGTGCTTATGCATTTTGTGTGTTATAGTCCTGATTGACGCTGAGTCTATAAAATTTATGTTAATTAAAATACACTAATTATTTTTAAACTGACATAATTCAAGAATCGCATAAAAAAAATGATATCATTATCTGATTTTTAAGACAATATTAAAACCTTGTAGGCTCATCCTGTGACTTTAACAGAAAGAATAATCTAAATTTGTTGGATGTAACATAAAGAAAATTGAATTATTTGACATTTTTGACAAAGATTTATAATTAAATTTATTTAATTGGATCTAATAGATTCTATTATCAATTTTAGAGCGTTAAAGGAAGTAAAAAAATTCACTTTTTGTTGTGCTGAAATTGTTATGGCATACCCCTTCGATTTTTCATCATAATTTCGTCGTAGCGTAATTCCGAACATTCTTCCTTAGTTTAGCGCGTTTAGTCTTCGGTAGAGACATCGAAGTTGAAAAATTCTTCGTGAACGAAGGATTCTTCATCATTATCTTGTTTTTCCACTTCAGTGAGTGACGAACGGCCACACGATGTTCCAACGACGGCATCATGCTGCGCTTTGTCAGTAACGGTGTCAAAGTTACGCCCTCGTAGGATCTCGAAATCCTGAATGTCTCGCATTCAGTTTGTCCGCCGCACTTTTTGACATTACTGGAGCATGTTGCGATTGGTTGTTTTAAAGAGACTGATGCTTTGTCTTCGTTGATGGAGTGTCTAGACTCTTTGTAATAGGTACGGAACGTCATGTGCGACTCGCATGACAAAAGTTCATCATCACATATCCTCGTTCTGTCAAGCTTGTCTCTGTATGAAACGTCCGTATAAGAGTCGATCGCATATGTTAAATTAGTGTTTTTGCTTTTGCAGGATACGGCGCTGTCCACCGAACTTGAATCCAACTCTGTATTAATTTGAAGCTTTTGTTAAAATAATTTTTGATCCAGATTCTAAATCACCGCCTAACTTTTGTATTACTTTTAAATACAATATAGAAAAATTTGTAATTTTTTTATAACCTTTTTATATTTTATTTAAAAGTACGTGTAATACATCAAGTATTTCGCATGCATGAAAAGAACTTTTTGATAAAGTATCTAAAAGTTTAGGTGGATAAAAATCTGAAAATAATTTTGTTAGACCAAGTCAAAATAATTATGTAAAATCAAGATTTTTTGCAACATTGCTCATATTTGAGCTTTCCACATAATTATTTTGATTTAAATTTTTTGATACTTCAACAAAATAATTTTTTCCATGTTTGATCGTTTTTTCAAATAATAAATTTTAAATCTTTCGATGAATACAAAAAGTTTTGATATCCCCTTTAATAAATTTCCTTCAGCCTAATACCTATCTCACGTTGATCGAGGATTTCGTCCTCCAGACAGTCAGAATAAAACGGTGGCGTTAAAGCGACGTTGTCCTTGCTGCGTGTCGTTCTCTTAATACCCGAACTTGTTATCGCCTTGTTCCCCTCGGATAGTCTAGGTTCTTTGCAACGCGGCGATAGTCTTCGAAGAATACTTTCGAAGCATCTTTCCTCGCTGAACGTGACTTCGCGCAGAGCACGATTCAGCTGTTCGATTAGATCTCGAATGTAAGACAGCATTGGCGTGTCGCCCTCCTCTTCACTGATCTTCGCAGCGATTCGTAGTTCCTCGAGAGCCTCTATGTGAAACAGAGCTTATCTTAGAAAATGATCGTATACTGAACTTTTTTTTTATAATCTTACCCAACCATATCACATGGATAGAACGGTTTTATCTAAAATTTAACTACATATAAATCTAATAATAATAATTTAAGTAATTACATAGAACATTTAATCTTTATAGGACGAAAAAGCCATTATAGTGAAATAGCATTTTTTTTTAGGCAAAAAAGACAATGAAAAATAATAAATTATAATAAATTTTACTCAAGAAAAAACTATAAGATTTTGAAAATAAATCCTCTCCCCTCCTCTTTCTCTCTCTCTCTTTCTCTCTCTATAAAGGTTAAATATTGATGATAATGCTTCAAAAAGTTTTAACACTCTAATAATGATTTCAGCGTTCTAGATAATTGATTATCCGAACAAAATTATTTTCAAATCTGTATCCAGTTAAATTTTTAGATATTTTAGCAAAATCATTCTTTTTATATACTCAAGTGGCGAGTAGATCCAATATTTCTTAAAGTCACGTAATTTTAGCGAAGCAATTAAATCTATATCAAATATATTAAATTGG